ACCTCATGGGCTCTACGCTTTTGACCTTGCTCTCCCACCTTGTTTCTGACCACATCTTTAGAGTGATGCTCACATAGTTCTTCAGGATGGCCCATCTTTGGGCGGAGGCTGAAAATAAAGTGTAGAGCTTTTGCAGAACACCAAAGTAGCTCATTGCATCAACAGATCCCTTAGCAGCATCACACACAACTAAATTCAATGTATACGCCCCACATGGTATGAACAGAGCTCGGGGATTCTTTTCTAAGAGCCTAGCTTGAACTCCCTTATTTTTGCCTTTCAAGTTTTTCCCATTGTCGTATGACTGTCCTCCGCAGTCTTCAAAAGTAATTCCCAACTCCTCAAGTCTCCTCAAGCTCATGGATGCCAAGTGGTGGCCTGTGGACTCCTCTGCCTCCAAAAACCCCATACAATGTTCCTTGATCTGGGGCTTCTCCATCAGTGACACCACTCTAATGACCACTGACAACTGTTCTGTGTGGCTCATATCCAGGGTGCAGTTTGCCTCTTTGATGTCATTCACTATCGTAGATATGATTTTGCTGCTCAACATATTAATAAGTTCATTTTGCACATGATGACCTAGGTAGCTGTTGTGACTTGCTGTTCCTTTTTTGACACGATTAAGGTGATCTTTCATTATGGGATCACATCTGGCCATAAGTTTATCTTTGAGAAAATTCCCATTTGATGGTGTGAAGTGCTTCTGTGTTTCCTCTTGGAGCCAAACTTAACTGCCAGTGACTGCACAGTAGCAGTGAGACGTGTCGATACTGCTCCCCATCTCACCCGCTCATCCTCCAGAAGTGCCATCTCCTGCTTATCAATAGTTTTCCACTTCTTATCCTCACTGCCAGTTCCTTCCATGCTTTCATGGAATTGAGGTGTTCTGTACTGTTTTCATGTGATGTGAGGTAAGTGCTCGCATGTTTCCTTTTGCCATTCCAGAACCTGTTAAATTAATGTTCCTATTGGACAACCACTTGCAGCAGAAGCATAAGAGGCTGTTGTTCACAGTAGAATACATCAGCCAGGCTCTTGCGTCTTTTCACCACTTACTAATGTCTTCCTGGAATATTGGTGATGGCAACTTCTCCCATCACCCTCATTCCTTGGAAAAACAAAGTCAGGTGATACCTTACTTCAGGAGTGGGGAACCCTGGTCCTCGAAGGCCGGTATCCTGCACGTCTTTGCTCCAACACTTCTGATTCAATGGTTGGTTCACCTGTTCAGCAGCTCATCAGGCTCCACAGAAGCCCGTTAATCACCTGCTGATTGAAATCAGGTGTGATGATTCAGGGTTGAAACTAAAATATGCTGGATAGTGGCCCTCAATGGACCAGGGTTCCCCTCTCCTGCCTTACTTGGTCCTCTTCGTACCAGCTGTCAGTCAGAGGTGAGGGCCAGTTAGTAGGGTCACTTGACAAAGGCTCCTCCTCAGCAGTGGGGCTCAGTGGGGGTTCATCTCCAGGCCTTTGTGTCAACATATTGGCACATTACTCCAAGCACATAGCAATGGAACATTACACATAGACCTACTAAAATGATCCAGAAATATTTAAATGACATAAAAGTGTAGTTGTCCAGTAAACCTGGAGTCTGGGTATATTACACACACACACACTCACACACACACACACACACACACACACACACACACACACACACACACACACCTGAAGGCTCATGATGGGTAGAAAAAGAAGCAGCAAGGTCTTTATCCTCACTATCAGATATTTTTGCAGATAACTCTGGAGACATAGTAGCTGAGGATGTAGATGGAAGCTCATCCTCAAGCGTCAAGGCTGTGGCTGATGTGGACGATGGCAGGTCTTGTCCAGCGGGGGAGGCGGGTGGCTCATCCTGACCAGTGGCAGATGATGATCCAAAAAATTTTAGAATTGCCCCTGAAATTTAAATTGACATAAAAAAAAACTACCAGAAAGGCCACATTTTATTACTGAACAAACAATGTGAAAAAAAAATCAGTGTAACAAATGCAATGAAGGTGCCACACTTCTGACTAATCTGTCCAAACAAGACTGTGGTCTGCTGCTTAAGATGTGAATTAAAACATCTGAATGATGAGGCTGCAATTTTATAAAAGCCTAAACAATATGTATTAAATCAATGGGTGTTGTCTAGTTTCCTCTTTCCCATCTGATATTTATAGTTAATTAATATTTTATAGAACAAAATTCACCTATATTTCAGTAACATTTTAGGTGGTGTTAATATCACTCATCGTCCTCCTAGTCAAAATAACATATCTAAATATATCCACAGTTACACTATGATCAGTAGACCAGTAATGTATTTCATTAACAAGTTCAGTAGTACTGGAAATGCTAATAACAGGATAGTTCGTGAGGACTGGGACTTTTTTAATGCTTGTAGACTTTATTCATTATTATGTGAACATGAATCATGATCAGTGTGTTTTTGTTGTTGTTCAGGCTGCAGGGTGCCTTTAATAAATTCTCGCACTTGAATCATTAAAAAAGGATTCAAGGAATTTATTCGAAGCATTTGTTTCAAACTTTCAGCCCTATTTGCTCTGTTAACAATTAGTTGACAGAATTGAATCGTTAAAATCCCCAGTTAACTGGTTAAAAAATGTGAAATGTGCATCCTAGCATGAGAACGTGCTACCTTTAGTTTTAGCCCGTTTCTCCTCTTCTTCTTTTCTTCTTCTCCTGAATTGGGCACCTGATGGTTTTGGCCTTTTCCTGTCCCTCTCGTTTGGCACTCGACTCCATAAACAGGTTTCCAATCATCAATGACAACAACCAGGAGTCAAGACTAAACTGATTGACCGTGGTGGGTGACCACAAAGTCGTTTTGTTTTTCTTCTTTTTTTTTTTTTGGCCATTTCACACAGTTCAGAAAAATGTGAAGGAGTTATAAGCCTGTATTTATAATATTGTGAATTAAATGTGCGTTATATGTAAGACCATCAAGGTGTGATTGACTTCAGCCATCTCATACAGTTGATTCAGACCCCCCACCCCCATCTGTTTCATTTGGCAGAGACCCAGAGGTGAGTTCCCCCTCGCCCCTCGGTGCTTGCCTGAACCCTCTCTGTGAGCAGGAGCGCCTGCAGCTGCAGGGGGCGCCAATGTGCTGGTTCCAATCCAGACACAGTGATATCTGACAGACAGAAAACCATGTTGCGGCGCAGGTTTTTTGTTTGTTTGTTTATGTTTTACTCAGCGATTGTGCATCCCCTTTGTGTCATGAAAAAATGCCGTCCCGGGCAGCCGCTCGGTTTGCTCGTGCCTAAAACCGCTACTGTGCGTGATAGACCGAGAGGGCGGAGCTGCTAAAAATATACACACAGGATAACAACATTGTTACATTATAATGTACCAGCTAACGTCATAGGTTACCTCTGAGCCAATAGCAGTGGCTTATCTAAATTCAAATGTAGTGTAGAGTTTTTATCCTACGACGGCACAGCACTGACAGTTTTAGGCAGAGTATTTAAATTTTAACTAAGATGCACTAAAGTGCCATTTTTGACGACACGTGTCTACAGCACAATTAGACACTTGTTTATGTGGTTTACCAGCAAAAAAAAAAAGCTGATTTGGGGGTAACTTGCTCTTTAATGGAAGAAAGCGGATTGTCACTCAACTTTTGTTTCTTTTATTAGAGTATACTGATATGATTTACCAGAACTCCACTGCACCTTGTCTCCACATGACTAATATTATTTATAATACTTTATGTCGTCTTGTCTTGCATTGTCGATTTTGAACTCACCGCTGCCATATGTATGCTCTTCTGTCCTGGCACACACCTGAAGCTAGGCAGAAGTTTCACTGGTTGTTTATTTTTACGTGTGTTTATTTTAATTTTCCTTTGTACTTAACTACCTTACTAGTACCATTTAGATCTCATTAACACATTCGCTGAACGCATCATGTTTCATTCATCATCCCTTTGTCTAAAGCTGAGTCAGGAATGCTGGCACCAAGACACTGGAACAATCTTTCTGTTTTCCTAACAATCATCACCACAGTTCATCAGTTTAAAATCTCTTTGTATGAATATTTAATAACCATCTGTAATTTTTTGGTTTTTCACTTTTGTCTTTATTTTGTGTTCATCTTTTTTATTGATGACTTTTATTTTCATTATTAGTAATATCATTTTTATTATTATTACTGTTGTGGTTTCAATGTGTGGCATTGACATACTGTTTGCTATCCTGGTTTACTATTTGTTTTGATATGTATTGACTAGTGATGGGAATTCCGGCTTTTTAGAGAGCCGGCTCTTTTGGCTCCCAAGTGGCTCCTCAGATTTTCTGTTGCGTAAAGTATATTTATCACCAAAAATAATGCAAAACTCTATGTAAAATGATTTACTAATGTAAAAAAATGCAATGTGTCAAATATTTATCATTTATATCAATTTATTAACTGTACACTTTCGGAAATCTCAACTTTCCGACTGCTGTTGCTCCTTTTCTCACCGTCTTCGTCGCACTCTCCTCTCTCTCGCTCGCCTTTTTCCTCCTCCTCATTCCCTCTCGTCTCCCTCCACCCGCATGTGCTCTGCTTTGTGTCTGAGTCTGATCCTCTTCCCCGCCCCTACAGCTCTGTGTGTGGACAGTTTGGACACACAGTTACACATGTTGACCAATCGCCTGTAGCTTTCACTAAAACAAGGGGGGAAGGGTCCTTCCAATGACGAGCCAGCTCTTAGAGCCGGTTCGTTCGCGACCGACACATCACTTGTATAGAGGACCCACTTGGAAACGAGACGTTTCATCTCAAGTAGTTTATCCTTTCGAAATATAAGTTAATAAATAAATAAAAATAAATCTGTATATCTGATAATTGTACAAAAGCCAATTTGAAGCACCCCTAATAATGTGCTTTATGTATTTTGGTATTATTGCATTTGAAGTATCATGAACTCAAGAAGAGATATTCTTAAAGCAGCTAGCAGCTTCTAATCATGTTTACTCCTGCTCATTCTGCTTCATCAGGTGTGTAATGGTGTGGCAGACTGCTCAGACTCCTCACTAACAGCACTTGGAGGTCCTACCGATGAGCAGAGTTGTAGAACGTGGAGCTCTTGGAGCCCTTGGAGCAGCTGCAGTAGCTCCTGTGGCACTGGTATAATGAGCCGGAGGAGGACCTGCCCTCCAGGCGACCTGCTCCATCACTGTCCTGGTCAGGCCAACCAGAGGCAGCAGTGCTTCAACACAAACTGTCCTGGTAAACCAAAAGTATCATATTCACATTCTTACAGTTAAACAGGAAATAGAAGCATAATTATCATTAAAACCTCTTGGCTTTATCTCTCCAGAAGACAGTCAGTGGCTGCCATGGGCGAGCTGGTCTAACTGTTCTAGTGGTTGTGGTGGTGTGACGATGAGACACAGGAGCTGCACTCCTCCTCGCTATGGAGGTCAAGATTGTACCCAGCTCTCTGGAGCCTCCACTCAAAGCAGTAAGAGTTTTCTATCAGCTATGGTTTAGGTGTACAGGCTTCAGTTTGATGCTCTATAAGGTTGCCAACTCTCACTCACTGAGCGTGAGACACGCATTTGACCCTCTTCACATGCTCTCACGCCACACCTCTAATATCTCACGCTAAACCAGCTCCTGCGCTTCCCAAACGCGCATCACACACAGTGCATAGGGCTTACGAGAAAAAAAACATGATATTAATTATAGCATTTAGCTACTGAACAACATGTACACAAACAACACTTAAGTAATACTTTAACTGGCGTTATTTCACACACAAAATCCCATCTGTATAATCCAAGCCAATGGGTTTTTTCCGCTCTGGTTGTGAGATCGGCGGAGCGGTGAGCTCCACCTGCTGTTGATGGGACGGGCACGCCCGGTTCTTTCTCCTAGAACCGTGAGCTGCAGCTGCACGCGCCGCCAAAATGACATTCTTTATTTAGAAATGCAGCCGCATCGCGGTTGCCAGCCGATGTTGACGGAGCGTCAGTCCCGAATGTTTTTCTTTTGTTTTCACTCATCAGCCACAGATCCTTGCTCACAGCAAGCTGGGATCCCTACCGTGGTGACTCACTCGCATGTTCCCTCTCCTACATTAGTTGGTGACGCGGTGAATTAAAACATTAGGAATCCTAGTATTTTAATTCACCGCTTCACCTGTGTGTTTTTCCTGTTAATGAGACGAACCCCTCCTCCATAACCAGGTTACTGGTACAGAAGCCTGGAAAGGCCAAAATTCCTCAAACGCTTTTTCCCTACTGGCTGATATGAATGAATATCATAGAATAGAATAAATTTTATTAGTCCTACAGTGGGGGCATCCACTCATTACAGCAGCACACACACTTAGAGACACAGATTACAGTAAAACGTATTCCAGCCATGTTTGCTTTGATAACTTCAATAACCTAATGCTGATGACCCACATGAACATACTCCTCTGTTTAGTGGATGCAACTACATCATGAAGTTAGCTTAACATGATAGATTGTTTTTCTTGGCAGGAAATAATAACTGGTAATAATAGGAATGACATGATATTGCCCACCCCAGATGGAATTTACAAAAATTTACATTAATTATAATTAAAAGTTCCTGTGTGACATTTGTGTCACGTAGCTGTAACTCTTTACTGCTGATAGATAGATAGATAGATAGATAGGTAGGTAGGTAGGTAGGTAGGTAGGTAGGTAGGTAGATAGATAATGTGAAGAAGTTCAGGAGAGTTGGATGTTAAATTGTCCTCACGAAAAGAAAATTTGTATTAAACAAAGGTCAGTTCCCTTTACGGAAGAGGATTAGAGCCACTGGAAGAAAAAAAAAGAAAAGAAAGAAAATTCTGACTTTTTTCCCTGAATTCCCTGTCAGAATTCCAGGATTAAAAGTCATAATTTTGAGAAAAAAAGTCAGAATTCTGAGAAAAATGTAAGAATTCTCTTTTTTTATTGTTTTGTTGTGGCTCTAATCCTCTTCCATACAGAGTAGAAATAAATAAATAAAATGTAGCACAAAAAGTCTCAATATTAATACCCCCCCCCCCCCCCCCCCCCAAAAAAAAAAAAACGGTCGGCGAATTGTCCGCTCCCGACCCCATGACCCCGTCTCACTCTTTGAAATGTTCAAAAGTGGGCAGCCCTGTAGACATGTCTTATGTGGACTGGATCCTGGTTTTTCAGGACCACCATGGCTAACTGGTCACAAAGCTGACTCAACACCACAGCAGAGCTGGAAACCTTGTCTACATATTTCCTTGAAAGTATTTTATAGGATCCAAAAGGTTTTAGTCAAAATACCGACTACAGTGTTTTCTTACCTTCTGAACAGCAAGGAGAGGTAGCTTTGTTTATATAGCATGCTTCGTATGCCGAGGTAATTCAATGTGCTTTGCAGCTGCATAATAGAACAGGGAGCATATAATACACTCTAGTGTGACAACACATCAGTAAACACATATTTTTGTAAAACACACAGAGAAAATTAGATTTGAAAATACAAAGTGACAGTGCAGAAGGTGCAGCATAAGAAACGTGGTTAATTTGCATGCTGAGCTGATCCTATATCTCGGATTGGTATGACTGAGTGATGACAACGTTTAAGTTAAAAAAGATAACCGGGTTATTACAATCCAGTCCATGTTAAATGCATCAGTACACCGATGGAGAACCTTGCAGCCCAATAGTGGTTCTGCCTTTTTGGCATATGTAGCTCTATGTGAAAAAACAGGCACTTTTCTGTACTTTCTGGTAGATTTTATAACAGAGATAGGGACTACTAACATTTCATTAGGTTCACATTTGCCCTGGAAATATTCACGAGTCATATCTTTCCTGAAATCTGGACCCAATAAATCTCAGAACTGTTCCAAATTGCTTTCAACTCTTGATGCGTGAACTTCTTGAACGCATCAACTTCCGGTTGTGCGTGGGACGTCAAAACAACACAAACGGAGTTGCCTCTGTCCTGCCGAAACTTTTGAGAGCTAATGGCTTGGTTTCTTTAGAGCGTAGGTTTCTTGCTAGGCCAGGATGGAAAAGCCAAGCAGAGGTTTGCTTAAGGCGTCTGTGGTTCTTAAACTGCCGCCATTAGGTTCGGATGGGTGCTTATATAACCTTTTGGGCACGCCCACCTGTATCTCACTCAAAAATCACTGGAGAGCACTGTGGCTCTTGCAAATAAACTCTACCTTCTCCAAGATGGAAAGTCCATGATCACAATTTAACACAGTTATTCAAATAAAGCCTCAAAAAGTATTACTTTAGCATCAAAGTATTACTTTAAACGGGAAAGAATAAAATTCATGTCTTAAAACTAGACAGTTTTACCATTAGCATGAATTTTAATGGGAGAAACACCAAATGACAGAGGTTTAACATAAAAGAAAACACAAAACAAACAGTTTAGGTCTGTGGCAGATACGATTCTAATTTAGAGCACCTTGATTTCTATTTTAAGGGTAAACAACCTAAACACCTTTGATTGTAGATAAACAGGAATGCAAGGTTTATTAAGACTCAGGTCTTGAAGCTCCCAGGAGGACCTAAAAGAAATTTTTACGACTTCCCCTATCTTGAGAAAAGGGTCAGTCTGAGGTTGATGTAAAACAGCCCAGTCTTCTGATGTTACTTGCACCTCCTGATTGGCACAGAAGGAAGGCCAGTCAAATTGGTGCAATTTACGATCCTGGGAGAGAGTCGTAGGAGTTAGCCAGATGTTTGAAAATGGCCCGATGGAATTTATATGATTGTAGGTCAGTTTCCCATTCCCCCTTTTTCCTGCTAAGGGTGAAAGAACCCTTTGTGTGAAAATGTTATTGTTCTTTTCCACGTAAATACATACAAAGTTAACCTGAGGATATAAAATGTGGATTTCTGCTACAATAAACAACACAATCACCCTGGATTCTCATGTCAGTTCTCTTGTTCACTCGTCGTTCTTCCATCTCAGGAACATTGCAAAGCTGAGTCCCATTCTGTCCTGCTCTGAACTTGAGACAGTTATCCACACCTTCATGTCCTCATGCTTAGACTACTGTAACTCTCTTTTCACATGCCTGAGCAAAACCTCCCTGAACCATCTACAGGTGGTTCAGAATGCCTGTGCTCGGCTTCTGACCAAGTCCTCCAAACACACCCACATCACCCCGCTTCTCCTCCTGCTTCATTGGCTGCCAGTCAACGTCAGGGTTCATTTCAAGATCCTGGTTCTGGTCTATAGGGCCTTACATGGACAAGCACCATCTTACATTCTGTGTTCCTACACCCCCAGCAGGTCCGTGAGGTCCAGTGATCAAAGCCTACTGGTTGTGCAGCGCACCAGGCTAAAAACCAAAGGTGACAGATCATTTGCTGCTGTGGCCCCCAGTCTCTGGACCTCTCTCCCCCTGAGCCTGTGATCAGTGGACTCAGTGGACTCCTTTAAAAAACAACTGAATAATCACTGGTTCAAGCTGGCTTTTGTATGACCTTCTTCACCACTCTCTTTATTCTGCTCTCCCCACCTATTCCACTTTCCTCAGGATCCACTGATTTCTCTCTTTCCTAGTCACTCTCTCTCTTTCTTAACATTTTTTAAATCACAATTGTCCATTTTTTGCTCATTTTAAATATATGTTTAACCATTTTCTAAATTCTTTTTTACATTATTACGTTTTGTTTTTGTGAAGCACCTCGTGATTTTTATCTCAAGAGGCGCTATAGAAATTACATTTTCTTCTTCTTCCTTCTTCTTCACAATGGGTACTAGTCAGTACTTAAATTATAACACAAATGTTCTATCAGGAACGCACAAATAATGAAAAAAACTAGATTGCTGTGTTGCGTCTAAACTGGTCCGGGCAGAAACCGGAACTTAACATACATGGTTCTGTCTTTCTGACAGCATCATTATATTGAGGCAGATTCATGACATCTGTGACCATGGCAACGCAAATTATAAACCAATATTCCAAAAATATCTTATTGGAATGAATGTAAACAGCCTTAAATTCATCATTGTAGAGTGGTTAAACTACATACTAGAATTAACGCTGTTTGCTATCAGCTTTGTTAGATTCTCAAGAAGATCAAAAGAGTTAGCAAATTAAGCTTCTATCATATATAAATATCTAGGATATTAATATATTTGATCGAAGTTCATAGGCCAACGAGCTTGGTCTATATTTAATCCAAAGATTAATTTTTAATCTAAGATAATTAAATTTTAGCAAAAGTTTATTTATTGAATCAGAAGCTTAAAGGAATCTTTGCTTATTCAATAACCAAATATGCCATTCTGTGTTTCATTTCAAAGAAGAGTCAGGTTTTAGAAAGTTAAGAATTTATTACTGACACTTTTAAAATGACAATTTGAAAAATGACAATTTGTAACTGACAACTTGTAACAGCTTGATATTAAAACTTGTTATTAAAAGCTTTACCTGTGTCTAAATGAAAAGCTAAAATGAAATACGAGGTTTGGATGCGTGAATGAATCTCAGAAGATTTCTTTCAGAGAGAGAAAGCATTCTGGATGAAACGTTGTTTTGCAGCAAACTGATGGTTTCTTAAAGAGAACAGCATACAGACACCATCTGTCGGGAAGTCTACCTCACCCAGTTCAGGTGACCCTCTGTGAATCCGAGATGTCAGGTGGAGATGATGTCCTCCGGTCACGAGGTTGGTAGGGGGACCTCGGTGCGACTCAAAACGGTCCTGAGATGTCTCCGTGGGCCACAACGACGGATGAAACTATTTGCGTCTCAAAATCAATAACTCTGAAGGAGTTTTTTTTGCGTCAGCTGTTTACAGGTGCGTTTATTCGGAGCAATTCTATCGGCATGACAGAATGCTTAGTGAGGAGTCAGGTGGCCGACCCTCTTCCTCTGGGATGGTTCAAGAACTGAACCTTAGCTGCGGAGATTTGGTTTTAACAAAACCTCAGAACACGCCCTCTCAGCATCAGAAAGCTTGATGTTATGGAGTAAAGACATGTGAGGAGTTTAACTTTACCCTGGATCCAGTCCTGCATGACATGTACATGTGCCAATGACCTTCTGGTTGATGATCACACATTACTGATTATCATAGATAATAATTATTATCAACCCAAAGAATAATAAGTTATTTCAGTAATTAAATACATTTATACTGAACCAAGATGATTATTTATGATGATTATTATATGATTGTAATAAACAGTAAACAGTTTATTAAATTATTATTTAAAATTATTATTTTAAGTGTCCTTCATCTTGGGACGGAACAGCAGCAGATAAAGATGGTGTTTAGCAGACATCCCGGCTCCTGATGGGTAATCTGTGGAACCAAAAGTTACAGCTCGATCCAGCTGGGGACGTGTGACCTTTGGGTCATAAATATGAGGCCATTCATGATGCTACATCATCTACCCTACGGCTGTTTCTCAGAGAAACGCATCAGTACATTTTACCTAGAATCATGTAAATGGTGAACAAGACATTGAACTCCAATATGTTGGAGCAGCTTTTCTGTAACTATTTTTTGGGTATAACCGCAGATGAAGTTTCAGATACATTTGGGGTATTTTTCCATAAAGCTTAATACAATCACATTCAGAATCAGCTCAGCTCTAGATTGGTACAACACTCGCATTACTCTAGACACAACTCCAATCCGCCTATAAATCTTGTGCTCCATCTTTCCCTGAGTCGTGAACAAGACCCAAAGATAATTAAACTCTTCCACCAACCAACCAACACAAATCTTTGGCCTATTCAAATAACAACTTCTTTTGCATACTTCAACCTAGAGACTTCATTCAGGTTTCATGGTTTTCACAAAACATTCAGCTGTCACCGAATCATCCATGTTCTTGATATCCTTTACCTTTTCATAATCAAAGTTTCAGGTACATTTTTGGATCTACCATAAAATGTGACCTATGCCATTGCCAACAAAGCATTTGTAACAAAGTTTTGAAGTGAACTGTTGTTATTGACCAAATACTTTTTTCCACCATAATTTGCAAATAAATGATTAAAAAATCCATTAATGTGATTTCCTGGATTTTCTTTTTCTCATTTTGTCTCTCATAGTTGAGGTATTTTAGCTCGATCATTAGAAACTAACTATTATACTCTATTAGCTAAAACATCAGTTGTTTAAATAGTTCAGCTGTCCAGTTTCTAAAATAAGTTAAGTTTTTTTCTGTTGCCCTCAAGGGTTTCCAGCAAATTTTACCAAAACAAATTTAACATTAGATTCATTTTGGTTTTTCATTTACCTTTTAACATGTTCAGGTAGTCTACAGTAGATAGAACATTTCTCAAAATAGCATTTCAAAATTTTCTGCTAAAATGACAACCTTTAAAACTAAGTTCAGAGGTTTATGCTTTCTGCTGTTTAGGATAATTTAACCAAATTTTCAACTTTTTAAGATCTACCTTTATGCAATAGTGCTGTTTTTTGCGAAACCGTCATATTTCCCAATACATTCTGCTACCATTCTTGACTAAACTCCTTTTCAGTTTCAGTTCAGAGCTTAGCTAGCTTCAGCTATCAGTTTCAGATTTCAACATTCAAACAGCATTTCTGCAAGAAATGCAATTCATCTAGTTGCCATTTTTTTCTATTTAGCTACTTTTTAAAAACTCACTGTCATAATTTCCAAAATTGAGTTTTGTTGTTTTAATTGTGTAGTATGCATCACACCAGTGTCATGAAATATTTAGGGAACTATGTTTATTCATCTGCAAAGGGTCATTCCACCAGTGAGTAGACCGGGGCCCTTATGGGGCCAATCAGATGCCAGAAACCTAACCCTATCCTCTACCCCTCTGATACAGTTCCCAATCATTCTAAACCTTTTATAATTTGTCTAAACTCACATTTTGAGTAAGAGAGTGTTAAAGATTAAGCATGTTTGTCCATTTCATTCCTTTCCAGAACCATGTCCTAATGACAGCTGCACTAATACCAGTTGTCCCGCTGGCCTAGTGAGACATGATTGTACCCCCTGCCCTATCTACTGTGCCCACATCAGCAGTGGGACAACCTGTGATCCCACCACACCCTGCTTCTCTGGTGAGTCATATACAAGAGGAGTCTCAAAGTTGCAACATTTTGTAGGTTGTTACTTTTAATAAATTGTCAATTCAAGTTTTTTCAATTCAAGTTTATTTCTATAATGCCAAATCACAACAAGAGTCATCTCAAGGACTTTCACATAGTAAACATGCCAATACAGGTCAGTTCATTAAGCCAATCAGTAAAAAGTTTCCTATATAAGGGAACTCAGCAGGTTGCATATCAATATCAATCAAATATAAAGGTATTAAATAAAATGTAATATTCCATATAAATATGGATTATCAATCATATTGAGCCTTTAACATTTGATTGACGATATAAATAATTACTTTGGGTATACCAGGGAACCAACAGTTTATAATAATTGGACACAGACGCAAAAATATAGTTTATAAAAATCTATTTATTACTATGTTTCTACTACTAATGATGATGGAGGACAAATGATTATAAATGGTGATTTAAGGCAATATAAACTAGCACAATGAATAAACTGATGAAACATGAGCTTAGATGTTCTTAATTAGTTATCAAATTAATCTTACCCCATCCAATGCTAGTAGAGAGTTATGGTACCCATGTGTATTGAGGCTTCTTGGCAATCCTGCTGGCATGAAATCTTCTCGGCAAGCAAGCAGTTTGGCTTCTAGATGTCACAGGCCGTTTTTCTCTGAATCCGCATCAACTGGTCTGATAGTCTCCTGGGTCTGCAGGTGGACCGTTTCACGTCTGATGAGTTGTTTTGCAGATAAAAACAAATAAACAGTGGCAGCTGGTATTTTTTTATTTTTGGTGGGGAACATTTTAACAAGTGTTAAAACCAAAACCAACCTGCTTAATACTAGACAAATACACTTTTAAAGTTAATAATAACTAAAAACAAGTGAAATTATCTGCCAGTGCAGTGAGTGAATTTTTCTTACTAAGATTTCTTGAAATAGAATAACATCTAGACTTAAACAAAGCTAAAAGTGTTTTACACTTATTCTAGGCAACACACAAGACAATTAAATCTTAAAATAAGCCTTACATGCCTATTTCAGGCAATGAAACATTACAATCGAATCATAAAATAAGCTGTTACCAGTTGATCTAAGCAAAAAACTGTGGAAGTTAAATCTGCAAATAGGCATAAAACACTTACTCTAAGGAACAAATAAGGCAAATAATGTAAAAACTAGTAAATTTGATCATTTTTTTCCTGCTTTTTGCCCTTAAATTTAGCAAATAAATCCTAAAAGTAGAGCTATAAGATTATATTTCTCATTATGGACTAAATATAATAAAACTGAAACGGAGCAAGTGTCAAACTTTTATTTCTCCACTTTAACAATTGCACACAGGTATGCAAATGAAAATGTGCCTTGTACAGGTCTGACAATTTCCTTATAACCCTCCCACTGTCTTTATGGGCGACCCCGCCAGGAAAGTTGACCATTGAGCAGGATTGATGGTTTATCCCTTGGGTCCATGTGGCTCATGAATAGCATCCTGGAGAACTTCTGTCTGAATGACAGACAGTAGGGTTGCCACGCATTTGGGATTAGTCAGATGGATTGTATAAAAGTATGCCATCACATAAATCATAGCCTCACCAAGTTTTTCTTTGACAAATGTTGTAACTGGCAAATTCCCAACAGCAATAACACACTTGCATCCAGGGTCCGAAATTAAATTTTTTACTCACCGGCCAAGTTGGCTGGTAGATGATGAAAATCTACCGGCCAAGCATATTTTTTACCGGCCAAAATTCTAAATGATTTAGATCTACCTAAAGCATGTTATTCTATATTATGTTGATTCCAAACAGAGTGACAAAATAATTAAAACATCAGTTAATAAGGAAAACAACTATTTTGTCATTTTTACTATTTATTTATTTATTTTTAGAGATGTTTTTATGAACTCTTTCATTGAAATCTAGTCAGACTCCTTGTTCTCTCTGTCCATGAAGTCTGGCCTCCTGCTTCTGACACCGTCTTTGTGCCAAAGCATTACAGCCTCATTTGGGTCATAGTCCTTGATCTCTGGAGAACACAGCTGCACCATGAGAATATCTGAAAGTGTGTCAGGGCTAGGGTTGTCACGGTAACCGGTGTAGCGGTACACCCCGGTAAAAAAGTTGACAATAATAATAACCGTCTTGTTTAAAAAAAAAAATATCTCGGTGGATTACCGTGGCTGCGGTGTAGGCGCGGTGACCCTTACCAGCCACCGTATCATCTGCTGAAGTTGCCGGCGGCACATGCGCACTTTGTTGTTTACGACCAAAACTTTCTTGAAGCTAAAGCTGAAATAATGGCAGGAGGAGACGGCAGCACTTGGGACATTTATTATCCCTCAGAGAAGACAAAGTTGGAAGTATGGGCATTTATTGGATATTTGAAGAATGCCGAGGGACAGTTGTCTTTGAAAGGCAGCAACGATACGTGGCCATCATAATGTAGCCATTGTCTCACGACTCCGCCGTCTCCAGTTCGCCACTTTTCACAAAATCTTCTGGTTGCCACTGGTCCTGGTGGTTTTTCTTCCAGTTCGACGACTTTTCCTTTGGAAGGCTGGCTGACTCCAGTTAAAAACCGCCGCATTTCACCGCTAGTTTTAACACGAAGCTAACTGCTAACTTGATAAACTGATTGAATGGGATAGGTGGAAATGATGTTGGATGCGGCGCTCACGTTTCGCGTACGTTTGTGTACGTTGCGTGCAGGCGGGAGGAGTATCAGAAATCCATGGAAGATGACTGATAAACATAACTAATTTGGTGCAAACATTTACTCGCTATGTGGCAGATAGAGCTCAAAAATTTACTCGCCAAATGGAGCAATTTGCTCGCATTTGGCGAGTGGCGAGTGTTAATTTCGGACCCTGCTTGCATCCATCGAACATTACCACTGGACATGACAAGCTTCGTTTCTGGAGGACTGCATCTGGATCTTCTGTAGGCTGCAAGACTGACATGGCGCACATTTTTAGTCATAACCTCGAAAACATTTAACCTTTTTCTCTGTTGGTTACACACTTTTTGTGTTTTAACTCATGGTTTATCTGTGTCTGGCCATAAGTCCCTAGAAATAGCAGGCAACACTTATCATGCTTTTTTCTGGTCACTTCGAACAGCAGGAGAAGCATTGAGGAAAAAAAGGAAGAGCTTGGCTACCACCACTGCAGAAAGAATAGTCCCGGTGAAAGAGTCACATGCATGAGTGACTTTAAACTACTCCATGGATGTTTTATTTTAGAGAACAATGCTATAAAAACTTGATTTAGCATTACCCCTCCTTCATTTTGTTGTAGTGAGTCTGTAGTATATCTTTATAAAGCAAATTACACAAAACAAACCTTCAGGACATGTAGAAATGCATCAGAAGCAGTCCCCATCTTTTTGGGCGGATGGGCAGGTGAGGGAAAGAGCGTTGGAAGAGCCTTCATCAATGCAAGATGGGCTTCAGCTGTACACAACAAAAACAAACCTGCATAAACTTACATTTAAAAGGATGAGAACTTTGTATTCAAATTTTTATGCTTACTTTTGCCCATAGTCATCGGTGGATTCATTGCCTTCTTTGACACGCCACAGAATTCTACCCTGGAGCGAAATTCTTCCCATCTTTGTTTGATTTAACTGATTAACTTGTTGTTGTGTGGATCCAAAATTCTGCACAGCTCACCCAACGCCTACAATATTAAACAGATAAAAAAATAAAATAACTGAAATAACAGAGAAAATACATTTCTAATTCTAATTTGATTCCAATTATGAACTCTCCCAATAGCTTACATGATGCAGTTCTTTAAAGCATGGATATGCATCAAAGATGTGGGAAGCTCGGTTGTCCTCTTTCAAGGAGTCTGAGTCAATGAAGGCTCTTCTGGAGTCAAACTCGAGGTCTAATAACTGGGACACATCTTCTTGGTTTGGTTTCGGCTTCTTGCACATTTCTGGTAATGTTCTGTAAAGTCTTGCTTGTATTTGCGGACTAACCCAGTCAGCTAAATGGGGAGAAGTACAAGAGCATTTTATAGACTTATACATAACATTGGCTATATGGCTTGTGTGTCGATAAACATTTAAAAAAATTACATGTATGTACTCACATGAAGTGGAAGCATCAGAACTGCTTGCAGGTGATAACAGCAGAGTAGATGCACCACTGGAAGAACTGCGATCAGCATCTTCATCATCAGCTTCTTTATCACTTGGAGAGAGGTCAGTGAGTCTTCTCTTTGGCCGGCCACTGTCTGGTGTTGGTCCTTGCTTTTTTACAGGAGTTTTAATATTTTGCAGCCTTTTTAGTAACTTTGCGTTGATGCTCTCCTGGTGACAAATGCATATATTTCATGCTTACTAAACAAAACAAAATGATTCATGGAGGAGACAAATAGACGAACTTACGTGTTTCACGCTTGCATCGTTATCCTTTAGCATACGATAATATTCCACAATTATTTTAGCCATTGCAGTGATTTCGTTCTTAGAGGGGTATCGCTTCATTTGGCCTTTGCTTGCTCTCAAAAGGGACACCATACTTGTGATTGTATTTCTCACTAGTCTGCATCTCAGTTCTTTGGACATGACACATTCATGTTCCCGGCCGACATGGGCAAAATCATAGTAACTCTTTCTGCATTGCTCCAACTCACTGTCTGTGTACACTACATATTCCGGAGGACTGGGGAGCTGCAAGGTCCTCTGCTGGCTTTTTTTTAGCATCAGGACTTTGAGGCCTGGCTGTTGGAACTACCCTGGGTGAAGAATATGTTTCAGGGGTCTGTGTTACAGGATGGTCTTCCTGATTTATGGGGCGACGGTGGCACAGAAGTTAAGTGCTTGCCCCATAATTGGAAGGTTGCAGGTTCGAGCCCCGCTCAGTCTGTCGCTGTCGTTGTGTCCTTGGGCAAGACGCTTAACCCACGTTGCCTGCTGGTGGTGGTCGGAGGGACCGGTGGCGCCAGTGCTCGGCAGCCTCGCCTCTGTCAGTGCGCCCCAGGGCAGCTGTGGCTACATTGTAGCTCATCCCCACCAGTGTGTGAATGTGTGTGTGAATGGGTGAATGACTGATTGTGTTGTAAAGCGCCTTGAGGGGTTCCAGGACTCTAGAAGGCGCTATATCAAATACAGGCCATTTACCATTTAGGGTGAGAAAAGAAAAGTTTCAAGTAATGCAAAAATAAAAGCACACTTTCTAGAGATTTGCTGAAATAAATATTTTTACACAATACCTCAGGGTGAATTACTGACCACACACGCTTTCTAGTGAGAAAGTGTTCAGGCCCAGGAAACAGGTCCCTCAGATCCTCACGGCTCAAAGTTAAGAGCATGGGTTCATCAATGCTTGCAGCTAACAAAAAGACAAATGCCAGTTAAACACACACACACACACACATACATATACACACACATATACATGTAATATGAAATCTAACCTTTAAGGATAGATACTGTTACGTAATCCAGCTTTTGTGTGGAATATATGAAAGGCAATCGGAGAACAAGAGCCAACAGTAAGTATGACAAAAAATGAAAATTTAGTCTTAACCATTGGTTGCAAAAATGTGAACCTTAACGAAATGCTTATATTGGAGATTTTTGATGCCGTCCCATATAAGTAGGCGTTGCCTGGCATTTTTAGGCCGACATCGAATTACTTCCGATATCGATATTGGAATGGGTCATCCCTACTTTTCAGAACACCAAAAAAAAAAGGCATGGTCTTTGGAACACGACCAAGAAAATGTAAAAGTCATAGGAACATGACCAAATGTCAAAACTTGTTCAAGTGTAACCTCAAGACTGGCACGTACTGCTGGCCTCTAAATCCTGACTGTGTGAACATAGAGGGAGTCTAGAAAGAGAATCTCTCTTTGTGCTGGCTTCATGACCTAAGAAGGACAGCTTGTGTTTATAAAAAAAACAACAACATTACAACAGATTGTATAACATTCCAGTACTGTTTCCTTTGCAGAAGTGAATATGTCGCAGGATTCATTTGGAGTCTGGAAGAAACTGGTCAGGTGTTTGAGAATGTAGAGATAAAAATGCACACAAAAACTCAAGAAGAGATCTTGCAAATACAATGTTAAATATGTCCTGAAATATACAAGGAATCGATCTCTCAATATAAATAAATAAATTATGAAATCAGGGCAATTTTAGTGGGATGTTTTTTGATTGAGTAACATAAATGAACACATTACAGAATAATATTCTCATGGGGTATTTTTATAACTTTCTCTGCAGCAGACAGTAACTTTAGCCAAGGGTAGGTGGCCGTGTCCTTGAAAGCTGCTATCTAGCATGTTTCAGTGGTTTTCCTGCTTTAACATGTTAGATTAGCTGTTCAGCAGCTCAGAGTTACAGATTGGCCACTCCGTCAACCGCTCTAGAATGCTTTGAACTGGCGTTAAAGATGACGTGGGCATAGTTTTATACTTCGCATGTTTTGGTTTATGGTCGAATGAAAAGATGACAGATTTACCAAGCACCACCAAAACCACGCTTCCGTCAGATCTGGCAGATTCTGATTGGATCAGTAAAAGCAATGTGTCATGTCTTAACGCTACATGACATCAGTCCTAGTGGAAAAATTTAAAGTTATATTACTTATTATATTCTATGGGATTATAATAAAGTAATATTTTGATTTCACAAATTGCTTAACATTTTAGTATTGACTAACACTTTGTTTTATTAGCTTATTAAAAATAGAGTTCTTTGATTTATTAAAAAGAGAGAGTCCTTTTCTTCATTCTTCTCTTGGGCTGGAAAGGAAAGCAGTTTAGAGCAAATGCATGCAACCTTGAGGCAATATCTCATGCAGATTAGTTCTTGCTGAGGAGAGGGGGAAAATGACTTTTAGGTGGAAAACAGTCATTTCATTCGGTTACACACCCAAACAGAAGCTTATTTGCATTGTTTATGGAGTCTGATGCAGTGAGGACTGTCCAGATTGTTACATCGGGAAAACTAAACAACTACCCGGTACACAAGAACATGGCACAACACAAGAGAGACGCCTCTTCAGGTCAAGACTCTGTAGTCCACCTACACGTGAAGGACAAGGGACACACTTTTAATGATGACAATGTACTCATTCTGCACAGAGAAGATAGATGGTTTGAAAAGGAAGTACAGGAAGCTGTATATTCCAAATGGGAAAAACCTACACTAAATAGTGGAAGAGACCTCAGGTTTCATCTTACCAGTAACTATAATGCAGGTCTGAACCAAATTCCCAAACAGTTTCAGGCTAGGTCACACCCTCATGCATCTAATCAATACAACCATTCCCACATTATTGAAGCTAACAACTCATCAGGACGTAGGGAGGGGTATTCATAGGTAGTTTCTGCTCCTTAAGCAACAATAAACTGTGACAGTTTATACGTTTGAATCTACAATATTCCAGTCAAAGCTCCTTGAATGAGAATAAAGATGTCTTGAAGAAACCAAAGACATCCCCTTTAGAAAGATAATCATTACACATCTCCTTGTGCTTTTGCCTTCAGGATGCTGGTGTCCAGAGGGCCAAGTGATGAGCCACACAGAACAATGTGTGTTACCAGAAATGTGTATGTGTGAAGTGGCAGGTGTGTGGTACTGGCCTAGCCAGCAAATAAAAGTGGATTGTGAGATTTGTGTTTGTGAGAGAGGAAGACCCCAGAAGTGTCGGGCCAATATGGACTGCTCAGGTGAGATACCAACACTCTGTAGTGTTACACTAGCCTACAAATCCAAACATAGGTCAGTATAGCCCTGCTCCATTGTGGCCTCAGCAGGTTTACCACTGCATTTTTTTATTCTTTTAAACACATAGACAAGTTTTTTTTTTTTTTTTTACTTGCTGACAGTTTAGTTTGCCGACTGCTAAACTTCAGCTCTGAGGAAGTTTTGCAGCTGGCAAACGAAACTCTCAGCATGGTAAAAAAAAAAACATACCAAAGACGTTACCACTGGCCTGAGTGGTTTTGTGTCTTGCCATTCACAGCGCTCTATCAGTTTGTTGGGCGGGAAAATGCAACTGAGCTAAACAACTAAGATGGTGGCAGCTCATTTGAAACAGCTTTGGCATCAACGTTGAACTATTTAGACTCTGGCTTTTCTTTGAGATAAGAGCAAAGAGAGGTACTTACCATCTCAGTGGCATAGAGGAATGCGGGTCCGCCCTGAGACTAGCAGATAGTGGGTTTAAATCCATGGTCGGGTCATACAAAAGACTTTAAAAATGGGACCCGATGACTCCCCGCTTAACACTCAGCATTAAGGGGTTTGATTGATGGTTAAACCACAGAATGGTACCCGAGTGTGGCTGTGTCTGCAGCTCACCGTTGCCCCAGGGATGGGTCAAATGCGGAGAGCAAATTTGACCACACACCAGTGTGTGTGACGACTAATGGGTCTTTAATCTTTAAGCCCTTGGTTTAGAAAATGGATGTATGTGCATCTTCTTTAACAGTGTGTAGTGGGTGCTGTAGGGGAGTGTACAGTCTCGCTCAGAGACTAATTATTATTTATCAGCATTAGAAACTTATTTATATTTATTAACAGGTCCCATCAGTCCCAGGCATTTTGTGCCACCCCTTTCTTAGCGATCAGAAGTGCGCTGCAACACACACACTCTCCCGGCCTTGTGTGTGTGCAGCGCATCTTACAGTGTGTATCACTCACTCTGGCTCCTGCAACAGGAAGCTGGCTCTGAGAGCCATTTCACGACCAACACATCACGACATCATTCCCTTTTCTGTCCAGAGGGACGGTCTAGGCCAGCTGAGTGTTTTACTAACCTGCAGGTTTATCCAGAAACTAGCTAAGGATTACCACAGATGTTTCTAGCTTGTTTGCTAGGTAGCCTACTTTAAAAATAGCTGAAGAAGGGGATCTGAAAAGTTGATAAATATAGTGACACAGTTCCGATAAGCTGGCAATGCAGCTGGGAGGTGCGCTTGATTTGTAACTCAGAGTAAACCACGAGGGAGGAACAAATAATTGTCTCATCTTGTTTTTGTAATCGTTCAGACCTCAGATCATAATTATGATTAAAATTAGATTAATTGAGCAGCCCTAACCTGTATAGTTACGTACAAAGTGCCTTTCCAGGCTAGGGTTATGCACCTATGACCTGGGATTCATGCCTGTCTCTCACTCTTTTCAGTACACTGTGGTTGGTCCTCATGGTCTGAATGGGGGGAGTGTTTGGGATCATGTGGTGTCCAGAGTGTCCAATGGTCATTTCGCAGTCCCAATAATCCCACCAAGCATGGAGATGGAAGAGCATGTAGAGGGATTTACAGGAAAGCCCGTCGGTAAGTAGCGTGCTACTCATGGACAGCTGTTGACTCTATGCTGGTTATTCTTTCAGCTCTAGATAATTAAAGACATATGTGCAACTTTTTCATATCATTTTTGGAGCCAGTGTGTTCTAAAATGACCCTTTACATGGTTAATGAACTAAGTTCAATGTTGTGGAGATAAAGTCAGAGAGAACATACTGAGATGGTTTGGACTGGTCGAGAGGAGAGACAATGATTACAATGGTAGAAGGATGCTGAAGTTGAAAGCAGGAGGCTGCGAGGAGGACCAACAAGAGTTAGGAAGTTGAAGATCCAAGAAGCAGCTCGTGGAAAAAATAGGACCTGATCCAGTCTTTAGTGGCGCCGCTCTTCTGGGACGCGTCTGAAAATGGCATCATTGGCCAAAAGGGATTCTAGTTGAAGCAGCAATGTTCCACTGCCATTCCACGCCCCTGGTGCTTCCAGTGGTTTCAGGCAGTGGTGGGAGGCCCAGCATGACCACCTCATTACAAACATCAACTGGCATGTTCAGTCACACCTTCTTAAAGTACACATCTACAGTTTTTCCAAGTACATTTGAACTGTTTTGTTCACAGGAGAAGAAGTACTGATTCAACATCAAACAGGTCGATGACTGATGCTTTTTATTACAGGATACCTGATAGCGGTCCATCAACAGGTTTAACCGGGAAGAAGAACTAGCTCACTCACCACTTTAAATCAGTCAGTTTACTTGATGTAATTAGCATTAGTTCTGAAAGTACACTGAACCAGGTATTCAATTCAATTAAAAAATACTTTATTAATCCCAGAGGGAAATTGATTAATGTCATATAAAATACAGTATATTGTCATCTATAATACAGTGTTTGTTACAAGTCTGTTCATTTGCTGCATGGGTAGTCAGAGTGACATGGAGGGCTTATTTAAAGCTGAATTGAACTGATGAGTGTCTTTCTGATGGGGAGAGGAAGGTCAGCCACACATTCCCCATTTTAAATCACAAACAAAGTCCTTTGTGCAGATAAGCAAAATGTCAGTCTGTTCAAAAACTGGATGTGTAGAAGTTGATCAGGAAGACAGCTCTAGGTGTTGTTCAAAGGCACCGGTGGCGCTGGTGTAGAACAAAATGTACCTTCTTCTCCAGGATCTCTGCTGGTCTGATCAAGCTGTGTCTGTGTCCTTTCATTAGAGACATAGGTCACTGATCCACACGATGATGGGACCCCGTACTAGGAGACAGACACACACTGAACGTAAACTTCCAAGCCTCAGGACAGTTAAGAACATCGAGATGTAACTGTTAGCTGCATAGGCAGCAGGAAGGAGAGGAGGTCTGCAGCCTGGGCCTCTGATGACACAAGAACACCAGTCTAGATGACTTAAACACAAGTGTTACTGAGAAGTTATATAAAACAGACAACTTCTGCAGTGGAGAATTCCTCAGAGCAAAGATTGTTGCTGAAAAGACAAGTCCTAATGGTGATGAAGGCAAATAGAAATGAACTGTTGCGTTATAATTCCAAATTTATGTCCTTATAAAGGTATGTCAATAAATAAATAAAAATATATGAAACATCTCATTTTGTAGCCATGGCTGAGTGGCTGCTGATACCGGATCTGCTTTTCCTTACAGCTAACCCTCTCTTTATCACACACACACACCCTAACCAATGCTGTTCTAGTCCTATCACACACACACACACACACACCCTAACCAATGCTGTTCTAGTCCTAACCCAATCTAAACCAAAATTTCATTCACACCATGCCTCTAAAACCACGTTTAAAAGTTTGTCATTGTGTGGACCAGCCAGATATCCCCACACTACAGGTTAAAACAATGTGTCCCCTTGAGCATATAAAGTCAAGTACACACACACACACACACACACACACACACACAGGGTATGATGCTTAAAGTGAATTTGATTCAGTAAAGCAAGTACTGAATACATATGAGCGTACTTTATCAGAGGTCTGACCATTCTCTATTGAACATCTTTCTCTCATTGAGTTCATGTAATATTCTAATGGGATTTCCATAATTATCACAATTAAGGCTTGAAACATCTGGCACTGCATGTAAGAAGTCAGAGTCATAGATTTGTTTCACCTTTCAGTTACAGAAATAAATAAACGTTGCACCATATTCTCATTTTTGGAGTTTCACTTGTAATTTCACCAGAAAAGAAACAAAACAAAACAATGTCCTGATCAAAAGCAAACACAGCAGGTGAAACACAAACACACACACACACACACACCCTGAAAAAGAGAGCAGAGCCGGGAGCCACTGTATTAGTGCGTACTGCCGATTCACAAATGCTAGCCTCCATGCTAACTCCAGATGCTGGTTCTGATTCTCGGGTTGTAAACCACTGGTGCGTTTCTGGGTTCTCTGGCCATAAAAGGGTTTGTCAGCAGAACACAATATTGTGGGGGTGGTGACCTTTGGAAAACCCAAAGATGATGGTTGCATCGAGGCAGGGCCAGATTAACACTTTGTTGTACCCTGGGCAACATTATTAAAGGGCCCCATCATCACGACCCAAGGATCACCATAATATGGTCACATACAGAATATTTTACTGTAATATGCAGTAAATATACTCAATACTTGAATGCCTGACATCACGTAACCCGCTCAGGGTAACCTTTGACCCACCTCGTGTGGTCTGACCAATGAGGAGAGGGTGTTAACTTGAGTATTACGTCCCCGTCTCTAGGAGTGATGAGATTGGGGGAGTGATAAAATTGGTGTATGGGTGAAATGATAAAGTGGTGTGTTGCTAAAACAGAGGATTTTATTACAAAAAGGTACACAGAAGGGTATTTACAACATCAATAGTAATATATATATATACAGGAAACTAAAGGAGTTATATACAAAGAGGGGAACGGAAAACGCCGACCCAGAAGGGGTTGAGGATTAACTGAAGAAAAATACTAATACTAACAGCAGTCCTGAGAAGCAGGACAGCTCAGGCAGATCCAAAATCAAAGTCTAAAGCCGGTCCGAAGTCGAGTTACCAAAAGTCTAATCCTAATTCCAAATTTCCAAAAGCGAGTTAAATACCAAAGTCGAAACGAGTCTAATAACGAAGTTTTAATCAGCCAAGCACACCAGGAGAAGAGAATAGTATAAACTCTTCTGAGCCTATACTACCCTGAACCTTCTCAAAGAACTGTGGGCAGGAGAGCAGCCTTTAACAGCTGCCCATGATTGCCCAATTACATACAGCTGAGACAGGCGAGGCAGAAACCACCAAGGCCATCTTGTGGCCGAAAAGGGGCAGAGCATGTAACCCCCCTCCCGAGAATAATTGGGGGGTCTCAAAAAGGGCCAACAATTATTCCAAAAAAATAAACGAGGTCTCCCGCTAACTATACACAAAACACTACCTAACTCACCAGTGTTCACTCATGGAACACTGAAGGTGGGCCGATTAAACACAAATTATCACACAGTGCTGATCCCCAGCACTGCAGAGTGTTCCCGAGATGCCTGCCAAAAAGCAGACAACACTAGCCTCCATTGGTTCCAACTCTACCCAAAATAACAGAATCAGACCAGGGCTTGAGGGATTACTTTTACTGGAATTCTTACCAGAATCTGCAAGCGCTCTCCTACGGCCCTGTACAACAACCTCTGACCACAATGAAAATGGGTCAGGAGTTGAGCTGGAAGTCTGTAGTCATGGTGCAGACCCAAGCAATGGTGTCTGGGAGTTCTGCATGGATGTTTCATTTTCAAACTGACTGACGAGGTTCTTGGCCAGTGACTGCACCAAAAGTCCAAAACGGTCTGCCTTTTTAGTGTTTCATTCGTGCTGCTTTGCACTGGTAAAACTGTCATTTGTGCTGCTTCGTGCAGGTAAAACTGTCGTTGTGCTGCTTCGTGCTGGTAAAACTCGTTTGTGCAACTTTGTGCAGGTAAAACTGTTGTTTAGGGCTGCTTCATGCAGGTAAAACTGTCGTTTGGGCTGCTTCGTGCAGGTAAAACTGTCGTTTGGGCTGCTTTGTGCAGGTAAAACGATTGTTTGGGCTGCTTCGTGCAGGTAAAACGATCGTTTGTGCTGCGTAAAATGGCCGTTTGTGTTGCTTCGTGCTGGTAAAACTGTCGTTTGTGCAACTTCGTGCAGGTAAAACTGTCGTTTGTGCAACTTCGTGCAGGTAAAACTGTCGTTGTGCAACTTCGTGCAGGTAAAACTGTCGTTGTTCCAGCTGTGGGGGAAACCGGGTACTCCGGTTTCCCCCACAGATCACAACATGCCCTATAGGTAAAATAATAATAATAATAATAATAAATTGTAAGTCGCTTTGGGTAAAAGCGTCTGCTAAGCACATAAACATAAACATAAACATTTCAACTCTGGTTGTGCTGCTTCGTGCAGGTAAAACTGTCGTTAAAAGTCTTAAATTTTCTCCAAAATGTACGCCGCGCCCTATGGTGCGGTGCGCCTATTGTGTTGTTGTGAGATGTGAACGTAGTAGAAGACAAGGGGCGTGGCGTGAACGTGTGGACGTGAGCGAAGACAGACCTGTGGATTTGCCACATCGTCATCAAAATCCTCGCTGTTTGACTCGGACTCCGGCTGTGAGTCTCCGTCCACTTCCTCTGCTTCCAGTTCAAAAAACAGCCGTACTATCTGAACTGCCTGGTGGACATTTATCCTTCTCATTATCCTTTATTAAAGCCTAATAAAAGCCTACTAAACTGCAGTGACAATATATCTGTCCAGGTCGCTCCAAAATATGAAGTTTACCGTCAATATCTGTCTGTTTGTTGTTACTACGTTCGCACCACTCCTTTCCCCGTGAAGCGGCTCCTTTTTGCGCACATCTCGTTACGCGTGCAGCCTTCCTCTCTCTCTCAGCTACATAATGATGCTTTTTATCAATTGAATATGTGAGACTTCCACCAACAGCAAAAGGATCTCATGTTTTTGTGGGGTTTTTTTATGTTCACAAGCACATTCCCTCTCACGGATTACTAAACTGCTGTTTTG